CAGAGCGCTGCATCAGAAATTATTAATAACCAAAATTACAAAAGTTGACAAGACCATTATACAGTATTAACAATTACGAGAAATGGTCCACTTACAGTAAAATGCAAAACCCATTACATATGGGTAGGTATAAACTAACCTTGAACACTGCAATGTTACAATAACATTAAGAACTGGTTACGATTTTAACACGCAGAGAGAATATAAATATCAGCTTACTATGATATAATAACACAGACTACATGGTACAGTACATGAAGACCTGATACATATAAATGGGAATTTTTTTTTTCCTCTAGAATCTAAAACTAAACTAATACTAGACAACTAAACTATGTACAGAAGAATTCTACACGGCTGATCAATCAATCATTGATAACATCACTTTTCCAATTTTTCACTGTTCATCTTGTCTGTTCTTGTTTTCATTCTCGAGAATTTTTTCTTTCCTGTAGAAGTCTGGCAGAAGAGCCCTGGTGCTTTCAATAAACCTTTCAAAACACTTACAGAGATTTTTCTTATCAAAAATGTTTTGTAGTGTCGGTGGCCAATTATGACCTTCTTGAAGGCATTCCCTATAGAATGGAATGCGTTGATCCTCATATCGTTCACAGTGGAATATAAAATGAATGGCATCTCCTACACTATTATTGTCGCACTGGCATTTATTAGTGTTTCTCTTCTTAAAGCGGTAGAGGTAGGCCATAAAATTGCCGTGCCCCGTTAAACATTGGGTGGTTTCGGATCTAGGTTTGTAGTAATTAGCCTTGATGCGATTAGTAATAGAGGGAATAAACTGGTGGCAAAGTCTCCCCGTTGTAGAATTATTCCAATTTTCCTGCCATTCAAGTAGTGCCCATTCGTTTAAGGAATTTTTCAGTGTTGATTTTGGTAACCTGGTATATGTATCCTGCGTCTTGAGAGTACCAGCCATTTTGGCCAAAGAATCGGCCAGTTCGTTTCCTTTATGTCCTTTATGAGCTGGTATCCAACTGAATTGAATATTGCGGGTAGTACTGAGATATTGTGCTACTTTAATAACTTCTTTGCCCAGTAGCATGATGTTTTCAGTTTTTGCCAAGACATGAAGAACCACCTTACTGTCAATAAGGAATTTTATGTTACCTTTGTATTTATTTAAGTTATCTTTTATTTGGGTGATTGCTTTATACATTGCACAGTTCAGCTTGCGTAATGCTACAATGTTTAGCAAGTTTTAATCTGGCCTGATATATTGTCTTGTTGTTGTTTTGAATGCACACACCAGCTCCCACTCCACACTCTTGCTTAGAACCATCTGTGTACACCAGTGGCGTAGCATGGGTGTCAGCTGCCCGGGGCGAGGAAAATTTCGCCACCCCCTTATTTAGGTATCTCAATTTAAAAGACTAAAATTCAGTTTTGTCACAAATTAAGTAATGAAAAATTCCGTGCTTGTGTTGCCACCTTTTTAAAATTGCCGACCCTGACGGCAGGTGAGGTTTGTTCGAACAGAAGTTCCTGACGCATGCGTATATCATTTTGCAATGAAGAATAATTTGCAGTGCATGCTGGTTCTAAATCAGTTACAGTTAGCGACTAGGGAGATTTGGATAGAAGTAACACAAGTAATGTAGATGACTTAGCCCTATTGGATATTGGAGGTGTATATGAGTACGAATTAATCATACAAGCAAAAAAAAAAAGTCGACAGGTTGCGCACGATATACCCAGACGGCGAGTCAGATTCCCACTATTATGTGCTCATTTCAATCAGTCCGAATCGTAGTTTGGACGAAAATATGAAATAAAATGGTTCAAATTCTTACAAGATATTATTATTATTTATTGTCAAATTTTGCCACCCCCTACACTACGCTACTGGTGTACACTATCCACTGAAAGTATCTGTTTGTTTCGGGATTATAATCGAAACTTATTTCGTAGCTATGCATGTCTGCTGGGTGTAGTTGGAGGCATATATCATTACTAGTTCTATCAATTTCGTATGTTTTAATAATATCAGGTATATTCCAGTAGCTGTTTGGAATCATTTTATTTTTAATATGTTTTTCAATATCCTCCTGTGTAACTGTGTAGGCGAATATTAGTGCAGAGCCAATTCCAAACTGTTTTTCTTGCCGTGATATGTATTGGCATTAGTCCAGCCAGTACCAGTATTGCATCTGTGGGAGCTGTTCGATAAGCATGAGTAATCCTTATTGCTGCTCTTCTCTGTATTGAGTAACTTCTTTATAATGCAGAGTTTGGAAAGACTGAAGCTTTTCTAATACCACTTTGATTGTGTTATAAATGTGATTAGATTGCCTGACATTCATTAAAGGTGTAGTGAGTTTTGCAATGAAACATCATTGCAAAAAATCATTGCACCTTTCATCAATGTTGAAATTTTTGTCCCAGTGTTTAATGCTTAACATTTTTGTTATTGCTCTTGAGCTAAGATTTTAAACAGCAAAACTCAAGGGCTAAAATTTTAAAAAGCAGATACACAATCTTAGCTCTTGAGCTAAGATTGTGTATCTTTGCTTTTTAAAATTTACTATCCATAAACAGATAGATGCAGTTAATGTGGTAAGTGCAATTTCTCAAGCCTTTGAGATCCTAAGCTTGGAATCTTTGTCATGAACAATGGCACCTAAGTCAATTCTCACTAGCATATATTTTAGAGACACATAATCAAGTATTTGTCTTCCTCTCCTTTTTCAACCAGCCGATATAAATATTGTCTTGCACAAAACATTAGTGTTTATGAACTATATTCAAGATCAATCATTTTGTTTTCTCAAAATTTTTGACATCAGTAAACTTGTTTTTGCTTTTTCCAACAGAACATTTCTTTTGTGGATTTGGCTGATAACTAGCTTCCTTGGTATTTGTTTCTAGATTGACACATTCATTATCACAAATTGGTTGGCAGGTCTACCAGGCTGCTGCAAGTGGTCATGCATGGTATGAACTGCATGAGCACTATTGTTAAGAGAGCATCAAAACATTTTTAATTAAGCACTTTGATTTGAATTATGAAATAACAAAAAATGGAACAAAATATTACATTGAAAAATACAACTGCAAGCTAAAATGGTTCATATTAGCACTTGCATTAAATATTTATTGCAGTCTTATACAATCAAGCATATTATCCATTATTTAGAGCAGGGGTGTCCAACCCGTGGCCCATGGGCCGCATGCGGCCCAAGGCAAGTTACAATGCGGCCCAATAAATGTGTAAACAAAACTGACAAATTTTTTATTTAATTTAATTTATTTATTTCAACGGCATAAACTCAAAAAAGAAGTTTCACAAAGCCGTAAATCTTTATATGTGTTTTATTTTTGAGTCAAAAGGAAATATTTTCAAATACTTGGAAATGTGTGAATGAGGAAGGAATACTAAATAAATCTAAAGTTGAGACTCAAAGAATTATAGTCCCAAATTCGAGGAAAGGAGAGAAAGGCCAAAAGATAAAACGTAGTGAGAAAGATTAAATAGACTTTCTGTTATGCAAATATGGACCCTTAATTTTCCAACTTTCCTCACTTCTTTATCTTTTGTCCTTTCTCTCCCTTCCCCGCATTTGGGTCTATAATCCTTTGAGTCCAACTCCGGCTTTATTTAGTATTTATTCCAGGTTTGCATGATTTGGCTACTTTGCGCCAAAGTTGGCTACCCGTTTTTTAGTTTGCCGTAAAAAATATCATTTGGCGCATTGGCTATTTTTTGGGCTACATCTTATTTATAAATATATTAGTCGAATAAAAATGCGCTTTAAAATGGTGTTTTGTCAATTTTTATTAATTAGAGACCCAAATATTTGTGTTTTTCAAATACATTTTTGTTCATCTCCTTTATAATAAATGAATTTATCCATTTCTAAGTAAAAATTAGAAGTGTCTGTAGAAGTAATTTTTTAATATATCCTTTTTCGTGATAAAGATTTAATACTTAGTACTATAATCTACATATGTTAATTCTTAAATATACAAGTATATTTAAGGATTGGGCCACAAGTATATATAATACACTTGTGGCCCAAAACTCCATGACATTTTCCAATATGGCCCAGAGAAACAAAAAGGTTGGACACCCAATTTAGAGCATTTATTAATATTGTGAGAAGTGGTCCCAGTGATAAGTTTCTTATCTGACAAGGAATAAATTTGTGTGGACTAGAAAGCTATGTAACAATGTTGCTTCATACTACCCAAACTCAATTCAAAGGAGTTTGGACAGTGATAGGAAAATAGGAATTCACGGTATATTTTCACTAATTCTTATGGGTACAAAAAATAGGGCTTGTACAGTTCACAAAATATCCAAGCAGCAGTATTGAGCTAATCTTTTTCAGCATAATCATATTCTTTAATATAGTCTATTATCTTTTCATAGAATATATTTGTTCTATTTGTTGTCATATCATCAAATTGATTATATAGATGTATTTTTCCTGTACTGACATTTCTATAGAGCATCTTGTTTGTAATGGTTTATAATTATGCTCATACTTTCAAGAGTCAGTGCTTGTATTAGTCTATTGCCACAATCTTCATTGGCAAAACAGTCCAGATGAGCTGATTTGAGATCAGAGATTTGACTGGATGTGAAGCTCTTGCTGAAGCTTAAAATCTTTTGTACAGTATTGTATAGCCATTAGGGGCCATACCAGCAACTTCACATCATCTCTTACCCCACCTAATGTATTGTAACCTCAACTATGACAAATAAAACTACATTTTCTGAATCAACTTGCATGGGTGTATCATAATGTCTAAAATGGCAGCAATCACAATTTGCTTATGTGAAGTCCCTTGAGTGAAATTTTAAAAGAACTTCTGTCTAGTACATAATAATGGCAGATCATTTTCATACATCTGAAATCTACACTTCACTTTCAAATACAACTTCCCTATAGATTTGATATATTATTTGACAAGGCACTATCTGCTGTTACTAAGATAAATATATAATAAGATTTATTTAACAAAAGATTTTTATTAATCATACTTTATAAGAAAATTGGAATTACACTTTTGAATCATTAACTACAAAACTCAATGTTTTAAAATATTAAGATACTAAATTTTTAGTATTTAATCACTCTTTTTGATTTGATTTGGCCATTAATGAAAATAAATGCTAACTTCATTAAGTCCACCTAATGATTGACAAAGATTATTTGCATCATGAATATTGTGTTATAACAAACATAAAATGTAATTACATATTAAAAAACAATGATTTTTATATGAATAACAAAATTTTTTCCAGAATTATAAAAACTAATATTCATCCAAAATTAACAACTGATGTAGTAAATTCTTTATTTAGTAAAATTGTTTCACAAATGGCAGCAACTATGCTTTGATAATAAAATTGTTTATTTACACCATTAATCGAATTATTTAAAGTCATGAAACATTTTTTTTCAGTCTGATTTGGTAATTGATAGCATGTATGTGTGTGTCATAGTTTGCAGTTCTTGAAGAGCATAATCTTCTGGCATTGGCAGTTTGCTCAAATATGGTGCAAGTAAATGTAATGGAGCATCATCTTTTTCTCTGTTTTTGGCTGTTTGCAACATTAATACCATTCGAAGTAATGTAGCTGTTTTCTTTGCCATTTCTGATTGGCATAATCGATCTTTTGCATTCAAGCACTTCAAACTGGACAATCTAAGACAAAGGGAAAGTATTTCTGGTTGTAGTTTTTCTAATTCATAGGCACTTATTTCATCTTTAACATTCTCCATAGTTTGAGTAATCTGAATGTAATCCAGAAATACCTGACCACCAGTATTCCAATCTAAAATTGTAATGCTCCTATCAGGATGTGCAAGTTGTTCTAAATACTCTTTCAAATAATCATATTTTTCACTTATAATGGCATCAGCTGCTAGTTTATTTATTATTATTTCATGACTTTTATTCCAATAGCCAGCTTTTAATAGATACCATGCTTCTTCATCATCTTTGTTCAAATAATGAGCCTTTACTGCTTTTGCAGAAAATATCCAACATTTTGGAATTCTCAATCTATCAATGAGAAAATTCTCTACAGTAATATCATCTTCATTTGAGTCTAAAGAAATGTAGCGGTATAAAAGATCCATAACTAAAGCTTTTCGTCTTGCCAAATCAGAAATATGTAGAGCTATAAAAACTGCCCAATGCCACAGTCCTATTGATTCCAACTGAGACGAAAAGTTACAATGAAGTGTGTCCATCAAATGCAGTGGCATGTTTTCATAACCCAACGATTGAAGTACTTGTGAAAGGAGCCAACTCAATCTATAGTCTAAATGTGAGGGAGTTGAAGTTATTGGATTTAACAGTTTATCCATTCTATAAGTCCGATCACAATATAATTTCAGTAAATGGTATGCCGTATCAAAAGGAACATTACACTCACCATTATTCATATCTGTAATAGATTCTGCAAGGAGGACAGGATTATCTTCAATGTAAGGTGGAAAGGGTGGTTGAGCATATTTTCCAGCAGGAGAAAGACCTTGAAATGCTTTATCATATTCATCAATTACTTCACTAAGACTGACATTTGAAGGACAATGATACCAAAAATGTATACTAAGAGCTCTTTTCCAGTCTAACTTTTCACAACAATTAATTAAAATCTTTGATCCTTGCCAAGTCAAAGTTCCAGCCAAAAGTGCAAAAATTTTTAATCTTGAAGCATTTATAAATTGATCTGATTTTAACTGTTCCCAAATTTCTAACTGCTTTTGAATAAGTTTTCTAGATATCATATTACAAGAAGCTTGAGCAAGTAGTAACGATAGTCTGTTATCATCTGAATGATGTGCAACATTACATGCTTCTACAATCTGATGACCTGTTAAATAGGTGAAAATAGTTGATAAATATCCATTACCAAAAATTTTGTTATTTCTAATATCTTCTTGAATTTTATTTCTTGTAGTTTCTATTAACCATGAAGAAAATGCTTCCCTTCTTGCAATTAAATGTACATAACTATTAACCGATTCCATTCCTTTATCAACTCCCAGTATATTACCCCACAATGCTACACATAATTCCCAAACATGATGGCACTGACGTGTTATATCAACATCTGAGTGTGAAGGATCTATATTCAAAACATGCTTTTTTGATGTATCTGCACAGGTGTGTAATAAATCAATCCCTGGCTTTGCAACAAATATTGGTGCCCCATTTTCAATAGTATAAGTTGAATGTGATAAATGAACATTCAGTAATTCTTCTAAATTTGTCCTGATAACATTGTCAGTATATTGATATGATGATGACATTTTCACATTCTCTATGACTAAATTCAGATGTGGAAATTCAGAATGTGAAGACATGAAAGGTGATCCCAAGAGTATGTGTTGAGAATTCAATCTTGAAGCTGTTTTAATTGAATTTCCAAGATGTACTAATTTCCACGATGGACCCCAGCCAGCACGAAATGACCTACCAGCAAAGCATCCTGCATCTGCAATCATTTTTTGATAGTTATGTAATAATGACTGTGACCATGGTAATAATTTAATTTTAGTTCCTCCTTTCCATACATGTCCTTGAACACTTCTTACTGTCTTTGAAGATATTCCACTCATTAATACAGGATGATCAGAAAGAAATTCTGGTAATTGTGCAGAAGTAGATGTTGAAGCAACACCAATAGCTTGAAATCTTGAATATTTTAATTGTGAAGGAGTTGATATTTTTTCTTCAAGTGCTAGTCTTTTATTTGGTGATTTTATACTTTCAGCATTAAAACTAAAATCACCTCTTTCAGTCATTTTTAAATCTATAGAATCATATTCATTTTCCATCTCTTCATCAAATAATGTTGCTTTCATTCCCTGGATTTTATTTAGACTTGCACCTGCAGCATGTAACAAATGATGAGTAGCAGGATACATTAAATCAGCACTTGGTTCATCATCCATTAACTCTTTTGGTAATGTCTGACCTGTAATATCCTCCATATCATCATCGTCATCATCATCATTTTCTAGTTTTTTTGACATCTGCAAATCTAACTTCTGATTTGGAAGTGATGCCAGTTGTTTAACTTCAATCTGAATAGATGTTTTCTGAGCCTGAGGTTTCACAGTACTTTCTACTTCTTCATCAGAATCTTCCAATCCATATTTTGAAAAATGATTTACCTCGAAAGTCCATGATCCAGTTTCTGGATGATATTCTACAAACTTTGCTCCTAAGGTAAGAGTAGCTTTCTTTACTTTTTCTTCAAATTTCATCAATTTTAATCTTTTAACATCTCTTATTGGCTCTTCCGTGATTTTGTCACTTGGCCACACACATTCAAGGGTAACCTTAGCTTTTTTATTAAGACCTTGTCCAACCGGAGGCCTACAGTTATCATCAGGATATACCATAATCATCCTTCTTCCAAAGTGAACTATCTTATCTAAATGAAGGCCGGTAACATTTGTTTTTCCTGGGAAAAACACACTTCCATATCCTCGTCGGCCAATAATTAGATTTTCGACAATACAATTACCACTTTCATCTGTCAGGATGGCCAAATCTTCAAAAGGCGGAACAGTATAATATTCATTTCTACTTAAATTCATGCCAGCAACAGAAGATTTCAAATGCTCCTTATAACATTTTTCATTTTTTAAAAGTAGAACTTGATTAAACCCTGTTTCTGGATATTTCTTCCATGTTAAAGAATTGTAACAGTTCACATTTTCATTTGTAATACTTAACACATGTCGCTTGATGGAATTTTCAAAACAAATTTGTCCTGAAATAGACTTCATTACAGGATTTATATATTCACCAAATGTTGCAGTGTCTTGACTAATTTTTAAGTTTTTCTTATCCGAAGTTTCCATTGATTTTGCTGTGTGTAAATCTATAAATAAGTACGACGACACAAAAGTAAAACTGCATATAACAAAATCCCTCCAAAAACCGGTAGTTAACCGTTACTGCCGTCTGACCGCACATTTTTGTGCGTCCAAATTTTATAGCCTAATTTCCGCCAAATTTTTCTAATTTAAAATAGCAATTCAAAAATATATTATTTTTTGTTTTATTAAAAGTTAACTAAATATAATATCCTTAAAATAATAATGATTATTATTCAAATATCATTCCAAAAATTTTTTTAAAAACGAAAACTATATAGCTTTTTAGATGGTCGGATGGTCGCGAGAGGTTAAGAAATATTTTATCCGTTCAACTCGTCTCCCCCAAGATTAAATCTTGAGTGCACCACTGACGAGGAAAATCTGCCAAGCGGTAGTGTCTCCAGAAAGGACTTTTCTACGAGAAACTGGCTTCTATTTAACTATATAAGACACGTGAAGAAAACCCGGAAAATTCCACGTGGCAGCCGTTGTTCTCAAGCACTGTCAAGATACGTTTTAATTGTAAACAGTATAAGGGTTAATGTGTTGCTACTGAATTCCTAAATCTGGAATGTTGTTTCAATACCGCTCATTGTATTCCATAGTATACTAATGTACAATAGTATTGTACTGTATATTGTATAATAATTGCCCGCATTTGTACATCGAAGTACTTGTATGTCTACTGTAATTGTAATTGTTTCTTCTAAACTATTGATCCGGGTCCCCAGAGCGGTAAGCTGCCATCTAGACCACTCGGCCATCCCGCCTAGTTGTTGGTACCTTAACTGAGTTACAGAGCATGTCTATAGGAGCAAAAAAGTCAAAGGAATCATGCCTCTGAATGTGACCCTTCACGAGATATAGCTTCCCGAAATCAGCAGCACGCAATCGTAAATCGCGCCGCGCGGTCTGCTAAGACCAGCACTTCCATTGAGAAAATCGGATGACGGCTGCGATAAAAAAATCAAACCGGTTTTAAATTCAAACCATCGTGTGCAGCGTGACAATCACAAACATCGTATCAATCTCATGTATCTCGTGCTCCCTTTGGACACGTTCATTTGTTCCTTGCAGTTTAATCGCAAACGTCTACCGCATCGTATGCATCGTGCCACTCGCATTCTATTCGTAGATTATAAAAGAGTAGGCCATAATCCTTTTCTGCCTTTTGCGGCGAAAAAAGGAAATCTGGTGATAAAGTTGCAGTTAACGAATATGCTTTTTAATCACCTAACACGAGTTCAGCCAGGTCCACAACGAGAATGATTGATGATGAGGGACAGGGATCGACATATCCGCGACAGAACAGACTATCCGCGAAAAATTAATGGAGCCGCTCGCACGGATTCGATCTTAGATTCCCAGAGCGGCATACCTTAATCGCCTCAGTCCGCTGGCTGACCTTATATTTTCATGCTAAATTTTCTGAAAGATTTTCAATAATAAATAAATTTAAGGGGAAATATTATTCCGTTTTTTAATAAAGTTAACCGGATATTTATGACATATTCAGAGGATAAATCAAGAGAGAAAAGTATTTCAAAATTATCTGGCAGTACTGTAAAGACGAAATTAAAGTTGACTGTGTTGTTTGCGCAATAGTAGATTTTAGGCTAGTGATTTAATGTAATTTTATCATAAAAAAAAGACTTTTGAAACCACAAGTGTCATTGTGTACGGATAAATTTTAAATCAGGTAAAATTGACTTTTGTTTAATATGATTTTTCTTTAAGTGTCTAAGATGAGATTGATATGTAGTGTAAGTCATCCATTATATGGTTTGATTTTCGGAGTGAATCCGCCATTTTCTTCTTTGTTCTCAAGAGATATATTTCCGATTAAGTTAAATTTTAATAAAATTTCAATAGAAATTGAAGTTATATTGCTGTTAAATTTATATTACGTAACGATACTAAACGAAGATAACTTCGTTGTGAAGTTTACTGTTTTGAAGCGAAGCGATGTCACGAAAGTAAATAGCCTTTTAAAAACCGTAATAAATACAAACTTTTATCATTTATCCCTTGAATAAACATTTGGTTAGAATATAAAATTAAATATGAAATTGGTTGTTCTGTATAGAANAGAAAATGCTTCCCTTCTTGCAATTAAATGTACATAACTATTAACCGATTCCATTCCTTTATCAACTCCCAGTATATTACCCCACAATGCTACACATAATTCCCAAACATGATGGCACTGACGTGTTATATCAACATCTGAGTGTGAAGGATCTATATTCAAAACATGCTTTTTTGATGTATCTGCACAGGTGTGTAATAAATCAATCCCTGGCTTTGCAACAAATATTGGTGCCCCATTTTCAATAGTATAAGTTGAATGTGATAAATGAACATTCAGTAATTCTTCTAAATTTGTCCTGATAACATTGTCAGTATATTGATATGATGATGACATTTTCACATTCTCTATGACTAAATTCAGATGTGGAAATTCAGAATGTGAAGACATGAAAGGTGATCCCAAGAGTATGTGTTGAGAATTCAATCTTGAAGCTGTTTTAATTGAATTTCCAAGATGTACTAATTTCCACGATGGACCCCAGCCAGCACGAAATGACCTACCAGCAAAGCATCCTGCATCTGCAATCATTTTTTGATAGTTATGTAATAATGACTGTGACCATGGTAATAATTTAATTTTAGTTCCTCCTTTCCATACATGTCCTTGAACACTTCTTACTGTCTTTGAAGATATTCCACTCATTAATACAGGATGATCAGAAAGAAATTCTGGTAATTGTGCAGAAGTAGATGTTGAAGCAACACCAATAGCTTGAAATCTTGAATATTTTAATTGTGAAGGAGTTGATATTTTTTCTTCAAGTGCTAGTCTTTTATTTGGTGATTTTATACTTTCAGCATTAAAACTAAAATCACCTCTTTCAGTCATTTTTAAATCTATAGAATCATATTCATTTTCCATCTCTTCATCAAATAATGTTGCTTTCATTCCTTGGATTTTATTTAGACTTGCACCTGCAGCATGTAACAAATGATGAGTAGCAGGATACATTAAATCAGCACTTGGTTCATCATCCATTAACTCTTTTGGTAATGTCTGACCTGTAATATCCTCCATATCATCATCGTCATCATCATCATTTTCTAGTTTTTTTGACATCTGCAAATCTAACTTCTGATTTGGAAGTGATGCCAGTTGTTTAACTTCAATCTGAATAGATGTTTTCTGAGCCTGAGGTTTCACAGTACTTTCTACTTCTTCATCAGAATCTTCCAATCCATATTTTGAAAAATGATTTACCTCGAAAGTCCATGATCCAGTTTCTGGATGATATTCTACAAACTTTGCTCCTAAGGTAAGAGTAGCTTTCTTTACTTTTTCTTCAAATTTCATCAATTTTAATCTTTTAACATCTCTTATTGGCTCTTCCGTGATTTTGTCACTTGGCCACACACACTCAAGGGTAACCTTAGCTTTTTTATTAAGACCTTGTCCAACCGGAGGCCTACAGTTATCATCAGGATATACCATAATCATCCTTCTTCCAAAGTGAACTATCTTATCTAAATGAAGGCCGGTAACATTTGTTTTTCCTGGGAAAAACACACTTCCATATCCTCGTCGGCCAATAATTAGATTTTCGACAATACAATTACCACTTTCATCTGTCAGGATGGCCAAATCTTCAAAAGGCGGAACAGTATAATATTCATTTCTACTTAAATTCATGCCAGCAACAGAAGATTTCAAATGCTCCTTATAACATTTTTCATTTTTTAAAAGTAGAACTTGATTAAACCCTGTTTCTGGATATTTCTTCCATGTTAAAGAATTGTAACAGTTCACATTTTCATTTGTAATACTTAACACATGTCGCTTGATGGAATTTTCAAAACAAATTTGTCCTGAAATAGACTTCATTACAGGATTTATATATTCACCAAATGTTGCAGTGTCTTGACTAATTTTTAAGTTTTTCTTATCCGAAGTTTCCATTGATTTTGCTGTGTGTAAATCTATAAATAAGTACGACGACACAAAAGTAAAACTGCATATAACAAAATCCCTCCAAAAACCGGTAGTTAACCGTTACTGCCGTCTGACCGCACATTTTTGTGCGTCCAAATTTTATAGCCTAATTTCCGCCAAATTTTCTAATTTAAAATAGCAATTCAAAAATATATTATTTTTTGTTTTATTAATTAAATATATAAATTATAAAAGTCGAAATTTATATAATTAGGATATGCAAATGAATAAAACTATACAAATATAACCCCCTCAAATCCAACTGTATGCGAGGGGACATAACTGCTTAGTGGTCCTATGCAGGCTAACTATGGTGATGGCTGGAGAAAGATCTGGTGACCTACTATGGTATTCCTTGCCAACAAAATCGTATGGATTGATAAAACTTGAATGCTATAAATATAGTACCTTAAAGTGGGACCCCTAGGCTGGATGGTACTTTTTTGGTGACTAGGGAGGAGCAAAGGTCGACACTGAGTAACCTGATAAATTATGACATCAATGGGGTAATCCTAAGGGGGGCCCACTGGCTGATGCAACCCCTACTGAAAGGTGTGGCCTGTGTTTTGAAGGAAGGAAAATGCTAAAAATTGACACATGGAATGTCCAAAGTATGATGGAACCTCTCTTAACGAGCACCTCTCATAATGAGTAATTCGCATAAGGATTGACAAGAAGAGGGGAAATCCTGGATTGGGATTGTGCACATGCTACATGGGTCTGTGTTTAGCACTTGTTCTGCTAGCATTTTAGTGTCGCTTGTGATCACACATTTTTCCAAACTTATATTCAGACATATTACATATAAATATCAACAACCATAGCCCAATTCCAAATTAAATTCCGTAAATGTCTAAATTAAAAATTATTTATTTATAATTATTAAAATTAATACAAGATGGGAGCATAACTGCCTACCTGTAGTCAAATTAATTAATTTCTAATATTTAATTACAACCTTTACATAGCCCAAGAGTTTGGCATATTACAGTGGTGCCTCGAATAACGGATGCTGCGAACAACAGACTTTCTGTTTGGACGTTACGTGACTTGAGCAACGGACTGGCTTCGAACAACGGACTTTCCGTTCGGCAGTTACGTGAGGCGAACAACGGTCTTTCTGCAAACAAGAGCGAATGATGTTTCCACTCTTTTGCCATTGCCAATGACAATCTGCTATTTTTATAATATATTAGTATTATTAAAATATATTATTAGTATATCTGAAGTATAGAGCTCCCGTTGAGATTCAGCTTGCTCCCTTGTTTATTACGTACATCACCTCAGTGCAGGGTATTTACATTTATTCAAGTGTTGTGAAAATCTTGGCTTCTAAATAAACAGAAAGGTGATTTCAATTGAAACAAAGCAAGACATCATCAGAAGGAGTGAAAGTTGACAAAAAGTTCCTTGTCAAATGGGGATAGGTTCAGGAGTTTACCAGCACTCATTATCCAAACAGAGCTGAGGCCAACAGGATAATGATCTCTACAATAATACCCTTGCCCGTCATTTCCGACAGGTATTGAAGAAGAGAGAGAAACAGACCACCTTGGATATGTTTTTCAAGAAGCCAGCTGCCAAAAAACAAAGGATGAAACAAGAGGAGATGACCCTGCAAGCTCTGGTAGCCTCTTCTGAATCTGACTTTGATTAAAAATAATAAAAAGAGACCAATGTGTAAAAAGTCTATATCTGTATGAAAGTGTAAAGAAAGTGTTCCTCCACCTCCTCTTCACACCTGACTACCCGGCATAATTGGTGACTGCTCCATTTTCATTTTTTTTTATAGTACGGTACGGTTATTTCATGCCGCGGAACGAATTATATGTTTTAACATGTATTTCAATGGGAAAATGCATTTCGTATAACGGACTTTTCACTTAACGGACGTGCACCTGGAAGGGATTAAGTATGTTATACGAGGCACCACTGTATTTGGCATGTTTATCAGACATATTTCAGTTTTTTTTCCCTCTGTAAATCGAATTCACATTCCAGGTTGGTTCATTTCACACTAGAAGAAAAGATAAAGATGATTCTTGCTCTTTAACAATGTATATTGTATAATTTTCTTTGACTAAACATTATACATAAAATATTTGAGTATTGTTTTTCAGCATGGAATGCATTATCATATTTCACATTAATTTATATGGAAAAAATTGTTTCGCTTAATGAGTGTTTCACATTAGAAGTAAGATTCTGGAATAAATTATGCTCGTTAAGCAAGTTCCACTGTATGAACCTGGGCAAATTAGATGTTATCAAGCAGGAGATGATCAGATTAAAGCTTGATTTACTCTGTGTTAGTGAAATAATGTGGATAGGAAGTGGACAGGATATCAACTATCTACTACTACAGAAATGATTCTGCCAGGAGAAAAGGAGTAGCTTTCATAGTAACAAAGAAAATAGCAAGATCTGTTGAGTGTTTTAGAACTATAAATGACTATACTGACCATCCGTATTAATGGGAAGCTTCATCATACTATGGTAATGCAAGTATATGCCCCACCACTGATGCCTCCCTAGAGGAGTTGGATGATTTCTACTCAAAAATTCAAAAGTCACTACAAGAAAAACCAAGAAAAGACATTGTCGTCATCACAGCAACTTTAATGCAAAAGTGGGAAACAAACTGGAACCAAGAGACTTAGTTCTGGTATAATCAAATCAAATATTTTTGCTTTTACTTTTGCTATTGTAAACATAAATAAATTATACAACTCATTAATATACTAGATATATGTTCTTGAATAGAATGTTTCTATTAAGTTATGTTTACCCATAGCTTTTATTTAAAATTATTAATTGTACGTAAAACTAAACAAAATCCAGTTGTCACGAGACATTTTATTNGCACCACTGTATTTGGCATGTTTATCAGACATATTTCAGTTTTTTTTCCCTCTGTAAATCGAATTCACATTCCAGGTTGGTTCATTTCACACTAGAAGAAAAGATAAAGATGATTCTTGCTCTTTAACAATGTATATTGTATAATTTTCTTTGACTAAACATTATACATAAAATATTTGAGTATTGTTTTTCAGCATGGAATGCATTATCATATTTCACATTAATTTATATGGAAAAAATTGTTTCGCTTAATGAGTGTTTCACATTAGAAGTAAGATTCTGGAATAAATTATGCTCGTTAAGCAAGTTCCACTGTATGAACCTGGGCAAATTAGATGTTATCAAGCAGGAGATGATCAGATTAAAGCTTGATTTACTCTGTGTTAGTGAAATAATGTGGATAGGAAGTGGACAGGATATCAACTATCTACTACTACAGAAATGATTCTGCCAGGAGAAAAGGAGTAGCTTTCATAGTAACAAAGAAAATAGCAAGATCTGTTGAGTGTTTTAGAACTATAAATGACTATACTGACCATCCGTATTAATGGGAAGCTTCATCATACTATGGTAATGCAAGTATATGCCCCACCACTGATGCCTCCCTAGAGGAGTTGGATGATTTCTACTCAAAAATTCAAAAGTCACTACAAGAAAAACCAAGAAAAGACATTGTCGTCATCACAGCAACTTTAATGCAAAAGTGGGAAACAAACTGAAACCAAGAGACTTAGTTCTGGTATAATCAAATCAAATATTTTTGCTTTTACTTTTGCTATTGTAAACATAAATAAATTATACAACTCATTAATATACTAGATATATGTTCTTGAATAGAATGTTTCTATTAAGTTATGTTTACCCATAGCTTTTATTTAAAATTATTAATTGTACGTAAAACTAAACAAAATCCAGTTGTCACGAGACATTTTATTTGAAATCTCTGTAAATCATTAAAAATTCAATTAGATTATTAAATTCTATAGAGAACAACCAATTTCATATTTAATTTTATATTCTAACCAAATGTTTATTCAGGGGATAAATGATAAAAGTTTGTATTTATTAAGGTTTTTAAAAGGCTATTTACTTTTGTGACATCGCTTCGCTTCAAAACAGTAAACTTCACAATGAAGTTATCTTGTTTAGTATCATTATGTAATATAAATTTAATAGCAATATAATTTCAATTTCTATTGAAATTTTATTAAAATTTAACCTTTTATTCCAGTATCGAATCCTTTCCTTTTATCAAGTGTTTTTGAATTTGTTCATAATCCTTCTTCAGGTTTTCCAAATTGAATATAAAAATTTTATGCATGTGTTCTAATTATTCAAATCCATTGTTCAATCAATATGATCAATTTGTAAAGTCTGAAGAAGGGTTATGAATGAACTTGCTAAAAGGAAAGGATTTAATACTGGAATGAAAGGTGAGTTAGCCTACTTGAAATTAGTTATTCTCCAGTGTGTTTAAACAAATGAATTTATTTTTAAATATCTATTTGCATGTATTAGAATTAATTTTTGTTATAAAGTTAATAGACACCCACGATTGCCGTAAATAATCAAGCTATAATTTAGAAATATTAATTATGAAGTACAAATAAATTTGGCAACAGAGGGTGGCATTAAGTGCCATCTTGTATTAAATTTAATAATTATAATAATTAATTAATTAATTTAGAATAAACTGAATAATTTAGATAAACTAAAGCCTGATTATTTATAATCGTGGGTGTCTATTTGCTAAGTATTGGGTTTTGGTAGATGTTTATATCTGTTATAAAGTTAAATAAAATATTTTAATTAACTAATAAAATACAAAAAAATATTACAAATATATTTAAACATCTGTTAATAATTATTAAGAAAATTTATGCTAGAGTTAATTTCTGAAATTTTTTACATTGGTAGTCAATTAGTATGATGTGCAGCTAGAAAATATTTATTTTTGCACCTGCATGTCATATCAATTGTCCTAATAATCTTTAGAGTCAATTGAAATAACAACTTTAAGTCTAAAGTGGGTGAATTGATTACATAATTCAGCATGATTCATTTATATTTAATTGAGTGTGATTACAACTTTATCTTCTTGTTCATATTACAATGTTTTTATCATATCAACAATTTTTAAATGTTTTGACTGGTTAGTGTTAAACTAAGAGAGACTCTAGTGGATTACAGTGTAATTTTCATTCTACTTGCATG